TATATATATATATATATGTGTGTGTGTGTGTGTGTGTGTGTGTGTGCGTGCGTGTGTGTGTGTGTATATTTTTATATATTTTTTTAAAATTTTATGGTAGATATTTAATCGTTTGTACTCTTAGTTGGTAGTTTAGTTCTTTGCTATTATAATAATCAAATTTTGCCATTACATTTTGGTTTGATGGTAGTTTTATTTTGCTAAGTCCGATAATTTATTTTTTGTTAAAAATAACTTGTCTTTAGTTGAGGTTCAAATTATTCATCACTATTTAATTCAATTATATATTATCAATATATCTTGGCAAATGCTAATTTTTTTTAAAAAAAACTTGGTTTAATAGTGTTGCGTTGGAATATAGTCTGCAGAATATGTGCTTGGCAAATGTCTCATATTTAAGGGGGAAAAAACCCGACAAAAGTCTCGAAGTAACCGAAAAATCAACTAAAACGACATAAACCGAACCTATAAAAAACGAATTACTTTAATTGGTTTGGTTTAATTTTATTATTTGAAAAATCGACTTAATTAGTTTGGTTTATTTTTTTAGAGAAAAGCTAATTCAAACCGAATCATGAACACCCCTAATCAATAACACCATTGCACCTAAAATATAAAGTAACGTACTAGTGTATGTTTAAAAGAAAATAAATACTATTACCGTTCAAAATATTAGTGCTTTTGACTCACAAAGAAAAATGTAATTATAGCTACTAATTTCTTTTTTAAGAATAAAACTACACTAACAAATTCATTAATGGGAACGTGTAAAAAGCGGTGAAGAATAGTCTAATTAAATATTCTTTTAATTGATGTTAATAAATTGTAAGCTTTTTATGGTGAAAATTCTAAAAAGTTGTTAAAAATACTACTAGTTGGGAATTTCTTTTTTCTATTATAAGATATACAGTAAAGTATAAAATTAAACAGAACTAATATTAAGTAATTAAGTAGTGGAATTTCTTAAAGGAAAAAGGTCAAAAGTTAATTCTTATACTATTTGAAATTGCTCAAATTTACAACTCACTATACTTTGGTTCTTTTTATACGATTACATTAGCAAATTGTTTATGTTTGCCCTTGTCATTTCCGGCTCCACCTAAAATGAAATGCTCAATGCGAATAGTGATTTGATAAATTTGACCTTTTACCTCTCTTAATTAAATTAATTTGAAACCAGGTCAGACGAAAAGCACGTGCCGTCGTCTTCATTTCGTTGAAATTAGAAAATACCGAAGACGGCGATTTAAGCTGCTCCAACTGGCGACATTTCTCTCCTACCCAAGCATTTCAATAGTAATATCTAATTGTTCTTCCTACATTTTTATTCCCTTTCAATTGAAGAATTAGATCTGAGTTGGTCGAAGCTTCTAGATCCCTTTTGGTGTAGCAGCCATGCCTGTGGCAGCTTCAGCTGTATACTTCCTTAATCTCCGCGGCGATGTCCTTATCAACCGCCTCTACCGTGACGATGTCGGGTATGTTCCCCCAGTTTCCCACGAGTCAGTGTATTGGATAATTCTATATAGAATTCTGATATCATTTACTGATTTTCTGAACTTGGAGAAGCAGTTACTGATTTCTGTGTTGTATTGTAAAAAATTGATGTCTGAACATAGAGATCGATGTTGGATCTTAGCAAAAAATATAAAAAAATACCATTACACCACCACTACTTTGTAGCAATGTATTGAGATTTTGTGTGAATATATATTTACATGTGCGTGTGTTTGGAACTTTCTAAAATGTTAATCCAGTTGTACTAATTTATGTGATAGGATTTGACTGACACAGAGTTCTAGAAGGAAAAAAGACTTTTGAAAGTTATAGTCCAAAACAAGTCATAGACATTTATGTGACTATGAATCATCTCATTAGAGGTTAATGAGAAATTTAAAGTTACATTGGTTCTAAATATAGCAATGTGTATGTATATATGTTGCGGAAGCCTAATATATAGGGTGTGACTAAATCACAACTACTATAACTAAAGGTAACAAGAAGAAGAAAAGTCAACTTTAATCCCATAAGTGAGGTCTGGGGAGGGTAGTGTGCACACAGATCTTACCCCTACCCTATTAAGGTAGAGAGGCTATTTCTGATAAACCCTCGGCTCAAAGAGCAGTAAAAATAAAGTAACAAGCAATAGCAACAGCATTGTAACAGAGTAACGGAAGCGAATGACATAGCAAGTAATAAAGAATCTTTAATAAGAGAATACAAGAATAGTGCTAGTACTACTGGTAAGCCTAGGAGAAACTCACAACTACCTATCAACCTACCACCTTAATCCCGACCTTCACACCTTCACAGAGGTCATTCCCACCTTGTCCGTAATAACTTCATTCCAAATCTTGTCTTTCCTGGTTTGTCCGAACATCCATCTCAACATCTTCAGCTATTTTCATCTTCTGGTAATGGGACTTTTTGATGGGCCAACAATGAGCTCTATATATAGTCGCTCTAACCACCACTCTATAGAACTTGCGCGAAAGTCTAGGTGGCACATTCTTATCACACAAACCTCCCAGTGTTATCAAAGGAGCGCGTAAAACGCGCTTAAGCCCTGAAACGAGACTCAAAATATGTTGAGCGCTTCACCTCGCTTAGCGGGCGCTTCAGTGCTGTTATCAAGGCTTCAAGGTATATTTTTCCTTACCAATGAGCACAATCACGAAGAGGCGACCCCCAACGATTGATATTTCACTTTATCGTAAATTTTCTTCAATTTATATGTCCATATATTTGGTATTCATGCTTATAGATATTAGTCTTGGACTACACATACAAATTTGTAGTTTTTCTCCATTTGCGCCCTTCTTTATTAACGCTCATGCTTTATTTTCGCTTTACGCTTAAAGCCCCAACAGATCTTATAGCTGTTTTGAGCTTTTCGCCTTTGATAACACTAAAACCCCCCGAAGCTAGCCTCCATTTCAACTTCCCCGCTCCAATGCAATGAGTAACATTGTTGTCAATCTCCCCGTTGCCTTGGATTATAGACCCAAGATACTTGAAATTATCTCGTTTGGATGAGTATATCCAAAAGTTAGCTATAAATAGTAAATGAGACAATAATAAAAAGAACATCAAAAATTTATGAGGTTCGGCAAAATTTAATTTTGTGCCGTATCCTCAGACGCAATCAACTCAAACTTTATTTCACTCTAAAAATACAAGAGAGAAAGACGACTCCAATGCCTTAGAAGATGAGAAGGCAAGTGAGAGGTATTTTCTCAAGTAAACTAAACCCTTGCTATTTATAGAATAGAAATTGCCTCAATAATGTCATACATGACATCACATAGAGTGTGATCATGTAATGTAAATGCATAAAAAATGCATCTACCAATTTCTTTCTAAAAAAGAGGCTTCCAAATGTTCACACTAGTTCACATGGAATCTTGTCAAATTTGAAAAATCAAGATTTCACATTTTCATTTTTCTCTCCATGACAAATTTTCATTGTTTCTTCAACTTCAATCCTCAAAGTTTAACAATGGTGTTCAAGTTCAAACAATGTTGAAATTTGATCGCAGTACTACTTTCGTTAGCATATCGGCAGGATTGTCTGTAGTCCGAATTTTATGCACTATGACTCCACCTTCTTCTATAATGTCTCGTACAAAGTGATACCGAACATCATTGTGCTTCGTCCTTGCATGATAAACTTGGTTCTTTGCTAATTGGAAAAAAAAATTTTTAATCTACAACTGTCTTGTCCAATACCAAGCTCTCTAAGCAACCCTTGAAGTCAAATTGCCTCCTTCACAGCCTCCGTAATTGCCATGTACTCTGCTTCAGTGGTAGACAAAGCAACGGTTGACTACAAAATAGACTTCCAACTAACTAGTGTATTTGCAAAAGTAAAAACATAACCAATAGTTGATCCACGCTTGTCCACATCACCCGCAAAATTTGAATCACAATATCCAACCAGATACTCTCTATCTTCCTGCTAAAAATCCAACATCTATAGTATTAAGTATTACGAATATACCGTAGAATCCATTTCAGAGCTTGCCAATGCTTCTCTCCTAGATTACGTATATACCTACTTACAACTCTGACAACATGTGAAATATCAGGTCTTGTGCAAACTATTGCATACATCAAACTACCAACAACATTCACATATGATACTCTTGACATATACTCTCGTTCAACTTCATTCTTCGGTGACATAGCGGCACTAAGCTTAAATTGAGGAGCAAGTGGAGTTCTAAACGACTTCGTGTTCTCGTTCATGCCAAAATGATCTATTACCCTCTTCAAATATTCTTTCGAGATAAACAAAGTTACTTTGAATGTCTATCTCTTTTTATCTCCACGCCAAGAATTTTCTTTGCCTCACCCAAATCCTTCATCTCAAACTCCATTCTTAGTTGAATCTTCAACGTCTCAATTTCTTTTTGACTTTTGGAAGCTATCGACATAACATCAACGTATAGGAGAAGATATATGAAGGATTCGTTTTCAAGCTTGCGCAGATATACACAATGATCGTATTTTCTTCTTTTGTACCTCTGCCGCAACATAAACTTGTCAAATCGTTTGTACCATTGTCTAGAAGGTTGTTTCAAATCGTACAACGATTTTTCAAGTTTGCACACAATATTTTCTAAAGCATTTGAGTCTTCTTTCTCTCTTGTAGCATTTCACTTGTATTTTTGGAGTGAAATAAAGTTTGAGTTGATTGTGTTCCGAGGACTAGGCAGAAAATTAAATTTTGCCGAACCTCATAAATTTCTGGAGACAAGAAAAATGAAGAGTCCACATCGGGTGTCAGTAATACGTCGTTAGCATCTTCACACATGATAAGAATTATGTCAAATGCGAAATTTGCAGTTGGATTTTTTGACGGGTCAGAACATCTTGGTGTGTGGCAAGCTGAGGTTCTTGATGTCTTTTTCCAACAAGGGCTAGATATTACCATAGAAGAAAACAAACCAGACAATGTATGAGAAGAATATTGGAAGATTATCAACCATGTTGCGTGTGGTAACAGCCGATCATACCTTGCAAGAGAACAGAAGTATCCATATACGAAGAAAATTTCTGCAAGTAAATTGTAGAATACATGAAAAAAAGACTATTACGCTTCACATATGTTCCTGGTACTACAATGAATGATATTACCAACTTTAATGAGTTGGCGACAACTTTACAGAGTTTGAACGTGAGTTTTAGTGATGGAGATATGACCTTAATGTTGTTAAGTTCGATGAGTACGAGCACCTCGAAACTCTTCTACTTTATGGGAATGATGAGATCTCTCAAAAAAGTTTGTTTTGCCTTGTACAACTATGAACAAAGAAAGAGAGAAAATAAAAGGGTGGAGAAGGAGAAACATTGGCCGAGAGAGGTCATTCTCAAAACTAGATGAGAACGAAGAAAGAAAGATCTAAGTCAAGATCCAAATCTAGCAAAGATGAATGCGCCTTTGCCAAGGAAAGGGGCATTGAAAGAAAGACTGTCCAAAGTTGAAAAACAAGGCCAAACCTAACGATGGGAAGATGGTCATGGATTCAAATGTAGCTTATTGTGACGACTCTGATTTCTCTCTAGTTAGAATAGAGCCAACCAAACCATTAGACGTATGGCTGATGGACTCAACTTGTAGCTATCATATGTGTTCCAAATAGGACTGGTTCGTTGATTTTCAAGAAGGAGAACGTGGAGTTATTTGCACCACATAATAATTCTCTTGCCGCATATGGTATTGGTTCAATCCGATTAAAAGATCATGATGGCAAGATCATAACATTAACAAATGTTCGATTCATACTGGATTTGAAGAAAATTCTCATTTCTTGAAGAGTCAAATAGGTTTAAAGTCGTTGCAAGAAATGGGATGATGAGAATATGCTCCAAGTGCACTAGTGGTAATGAAGGGAATTTGGAGAAACAATAACATGTACCACTATCACGATAGTACAATTATTGGGACAACGACAGTGACATCAGTGATGACAATAAGGCATAAGCGATCAGGCTATGGCACATGCGCTTGGGATATGCTGGAGGAAAATCCTTGAAAATTTTATCATATCAAGGATTGCTAAAAAGAGTAAAGACTTGCAATTTGGAGTTTTATGAGCATTGTGTCAAGGAGAAACAGACAAGGTGTTGCGGAAGCCACAACTATTATATCTTAAGATAGCTAATAAATAGTAAATGAGACAATAATAAAAAGAACACCAGAAATTTACGAGGTTCGGCAAAATTTAATTTTCTGCCTAGTCCTCGGACATAATCAACTCAAACTTTATTTCACTCCAAAAATACAAGAGAGAATAAAGATTCAAATGTTTTAAAAGATGAGAAAGCAAGTGAGAGGTAGGGAAATTGCCTCAATAATCTGACATTAAATAGAGTGTGATCATGCAATGTAAATGCATGAAAAATGCATCTACTAATTTCTTTCTAAAAAAGAGGCTACTCGTCAAATTTAACAATAAATATTTATTTATATATATACACACACATACTATATTTGAACTCGTTGCCTCAAAGTAGTAGTTCCGCAGTGATAAATAACTTTTACTTGCTCCGTCTTTCTCGTTACCATTTTAATTACTGATAATTATGTTTGTGCAATAACCATAGTATCTTGTCTTTACTTCTACCATAGTATCTTTTCTTTAGCTCTGATACCATATTGAAATGTGTGATCATCTCATCGAAAAGCTTACGCTGTGAGAGAACACGCTTTTATTTACTTAATTATGCTTTCAACATGCTCCCTCATGCGTGGGCTTAATTCTTTATTACGAGCCAAGCACTTGAAAATTCTTTTTGATTATGGGTGACGGTGATACTCGAACACTGGACCTTTGCCTGCTCTGATATCATATTGAAGTGTGCGACGATCTCATCTAAAAGCTTACGCTGTTAGCGAGACACTTTTATTTACTTAATTATGTCTTCAACATGTCCATTATGATCTTGTCAAAAATAAAGAAGTCAATTGTAATATAAGCATGATGTTCTCATTAAACTGTGACCTTTTGATTTAAGCAGGGGTAATATGGTAGATGCCTTCCGGATGCATATAATGCAGACAAAAGAGCTTGGGACATGTCCTGTCAGGCAGATTGGAGGCTGCTCTTTCTTCTACATGAGAATCAGCAATGTATATATTGTGATTGTAGTTAGCAGCAATGCAAATGTCGCATGTGCATTCAAGTTTGTTGTTGAGGTAACCTCACCCTCTAAATAATTATGCTTTGTAAGATATTAGGTACTTGCATAGTTTTTGGAGATTTGATCTCTGGAATTGATGTTTTACTTCTTTTCATTTAAGCTTTCAAAATCATTTTGCGTAAATGCAGGGGTACATTTTTGCTATGTGATCATCAGGTTGTTTATATTTGATAGCAGCATTTTGTTGGATAAGTATCTGGAGTACTTTTTTCCTTGACTACTTGCTTTATTTCTGTAGGCTTGTACTACCTTTCTTTCCCCATTCTATTGTAGCAGTAAAGAAGAGCTTATAATAGCCTCTAATTATATTAAAAGAAACCAGTTGCATTATTGAGCCGAGGGTCTTCCGGAAACCTCTCTACCTTCACAAGGTAGAGGTAAGATCTGCGTACATACTACCCTCCCCAAACCCCACTTGTGGGACTACACTGGGTATGTTGTTGTTGTTGTTAAACCATTTGCACATTATAAATTTTTAAATTTATATAAATAGAATTCGTCCCATCGTCCCAACTTTCCTGAAATATATACGTTTTCAACCCAAGAGTGTGGCCATACAGTTAATGAAGTGTGAAAATTATGAGAAACTAGGTTCAAATCCCAACAGGAACAAAACACGCTAGTTGATATCTTCTCTTATGCTTAAGCCAAGCCTAGGTCGGGAGAGTTACCTGGTACCTACAATGATGAGAAGTAGCCGGTATTCTTGAATGATGGTGAGCACAAGCTGGCCCTAATACTACCATTATAAAAAAACATCATACATTTTCAACTCTCAAGAGAAGCATGCATGGAATCTCATATGAAATAGAGAAGGGGAGCATAATGTTATAAATGATTTAATAGCCTAAATATGTGTTGTTCTTGTCATTGTTACAACTCTTTCTTTTTTATAACTGGTATAATGAATGTGCTATAGTTTGTAGGTACTGGAATTGAATTCCGGTGTATTCTAGTTGTCTTTACTCCTTTTGACAACTTTCTCTTTGATTCTCATGTAGGCTGTTGCACTATTCAAATCTTATTTCGGTGGTGCTTTTGATGAAGATGCCATTCGTAATAACTTTGTTTTAATCTATGAGCTTTTGGATGGTAAGCCATCTGGATATTAATTAATTTTTTACATTTTATCTAAAAGTTTGATCAAGGAAAGCCTTCCCGTATTACTTATCACTTATGAGGAAAAGAATCCTCTGTAGTAATTGTGATATACATATTTTTTATTTTCTGTTAGCTAATTGCAAGTGATGTTGATTTCTCATGTGCGATTGTTCCCCCCCCTTTACCCACTTCTTTATGTTTGAGAGGAAAGGCTGTATTCTAACTGGATAGAGTTCTCCTATGAGGATACATGGAAAGCAAATTAAAGGTGAGGCCAATTTGGATACCTAGCCCTCCTCTTCAATTAAATGCTGGCTACTTGGAAAGGCTGTATTATAGGCTGAATAGATACGGAGACACTTAAAGTTGGCACGATTTTTCATTTAGACACTTGAACTTAAGGGTGTTCCTATCGAACACTTATACTACCCAAAACTTATTTCAATTGAGCACTTCTTTGACAATCAGCCAAACTTACAAAGTTTGTGCAATGCACTCGCTGCTGACGTGGCGAATGACGAATAAAAAAAGGACATATATTATTTTGAGTAAAAAAAAAAAAGGAAAAACTATGTTAAATCTATTTAATAAACAAAATAATCAGTGGTCTTGGTGTTCTTCACTATTTTCATGTGTGTTCTTGTTCCAAGCACGATTTTAATCCAAATTTTTAAGAGAAACTCCTCCAAATTTGTTATAACTTCAGCTAAAGATTCCCCACGACGACCCGAAGACAACCCCAATATTAATTTCCCAAACTTTCATCAAATCAAGTAACCCATTTTAAACCTTCAAGCTTTTTAAAGACCCCATTAATGGTGGCTTTCATTTAGTCGCAGTTCTCTGCAACAAGATTTCAACAATTTCTTGCTTGAACCCGGGAATCTCAAATCCTTCCAAAAGCTTCTCCTCTTCCACATGATTCCCACTCGCCCAGATGATATCATTAAACCGAACGGAATAATCCACGGAATAGAACGCGTCTTGATAGCCAAATCAATGCAACAAAATATCAACAATTTCAGCCTTCTTCATTTCAGTTTTAATCAATGGTGGAGAGAAAGAAGGGGGTGCGACTGCTTCTCTCCGGCCAGCGATGACCTGAGCAAGATGAAGAGGCGGCTGGGTTGGAGTTCTGGCGGCTATGGTCTTGGAGATGGGTCGCTAGCCGCTGGCGATGAAGTCCAGCGGCAGCGTGGTGGCCGAAAATCTCTTAGAACAGCCAGGTTTGTTGCAGCGACGGCTGGAGATGAGGAGATGGGGTGCAACTGGTTTCTTAGGGTTGAAGAAGAAAAGGGGGGGCTCGTTGGTCTTTTGGAGAGGATGAAGCCGCCGGTTTCTCTCGCCGGATTCCGGCAGTGAAGAGACAACTAGCAGATCTGTTTTGTTTTTGAGGGAGAAGAAGAAGGAAATAAAAAAGAAAAAAAGAAAAAAAATCTGTTTTTTGGGGTCTTCATGCGCCTATATCGGGTGAAACTCACTTTATGTGCCAACTTAGCAAGAAGTGCTCAATTGGAATAAGTTTCGGGTAGTATAAGTGCTCAATAGGAACACCCTTGAGTTTAGGTGTCTAAATGAAAAATCGTGCCAACTTTAAGTGTCTCCGTATGTATTCAGCCCTGTATTATAACTTGATAGAGTTCTGCTATGATGATACATGGAAAGCAAATGAAAGGTGAGATCAATTTGGATACCTAGCCCTCCTCTTCAATTAAATGCTGGCTACTTGGTGATGTGGTTTTTAACACAAATTAAAGGTTAGGATAAGTGGATAACATACACTCTAGCAAGGAGCTGTTCTTTTAATGGTTACCATTTGTTTGCTTGAACATGGGGTTTGTATGTTTATACTGCTACAAAGGAGAGATACTGAAGAGAAAGCAGTGGTTGAGGGGGCATGTGTGTGATCGGGTGCTTGACTGTTGAGAGAAAAGAAGAGAAAAAGGAAGAAGAAAATCTACCCAAAGAAGGCCAAAAAGGGTGTATGTGCTGGAGGACGCCCGGGCAGAGGGTCTTGATATTGTTGGTAGTCGATAGGAGGAGGAGGAAGAAGAAGATGATGAAGAGATGTAAAAACGAAGAACCTTTCCCTACTAAGACAGCATGGAACTAGAACCTTCACTACAATGTCCCTGAGCCCAGTTGTTACTTCTCTTTTATAGGGGAATGACAATTTAGGGTGTGTTTGGTACGAAGGAAAGTATTTTCCGAAAAATATTTTTCAATTTTTCCATGTTTGGTTGGCTTAAATGTTTTGGAAAATATTTTCCTCATCAACTCATTTTCCTCCAATGTTTTCCCTATCAAAAGGAGGGAAAACATTTTTCTCAACTCTTTTTCAACCTTCTCCACCTTGTTCTTCATGCCCACCAACCCACCCTCTCCCACCCCACCACCAAACCACCCCAATCCCCTCCCCCGACCACACCCCACCCACCCCAACCTTGCCCACCACCCACCACCCACCCTAAATAGAACTATTATTAAGAGCACTTTCTTTTCATGTTGTAGATAGAGTATTTTTTTTTATTTCAACAAATAGAGTATATTCTTTTCATGATGTAGTAAAAGTAATTTCTTTCATTTCAACAAAACGAGTACTTTTTTTTCATGATGTAGAAAAGTACTTTCTTTCATTTCAGCAAAACGAGTACTTTCTTTTTATGATGTACAAAAAGTAATTTATTTCATTTCAACAAATTAAGTATTTTTTTTTCCTGAAATTGAAAAAGAATTTTTTTTCCAACAAAAGAGTACTTTCTTTTCATGATGTCGAAAAAGTATTTTCTTTCATTTCAACAAAAAAAGTACTTTCTTTTCGTGTTGTAGAAAAAGTCGTCTTTCATTTCAACAAACTAAGTATTTTCTTTCTTGATGTAGAAAAAATATTTTCTCATTTCAACAAACTGAGTATTTTCTTTTCGATGATGTAGAAAAAGTATTTTCTTTCATTCAACAAAATGAGTAATTTCCTTTTATGTTTTAGAAAAGATACTTTCTTTTTAGTTATCAAGCTCAAATTTTAACGTTGTTCTTGTGTGAAAAAGTAAAGTAGTACATTAGTTCCTTTGGGTTTGTGCGAATTTTGAAAAGAATAATTAATTCTTGAAGAGTCGGGGG